GGGAAGCAATGAACTCTTTCTCTTGAAGAAATTCATTCACTTAGGTTTCTTTTTTTCTCTTTTCTTCTGTTTTTTTTTCCTTGTTATCTTCTTCAATCAATCTTTTGTGAAGTTTTCCACGGACATTTTTTCTTCCAGTTTATGTTTTTTTCAAAATCTTAAATATATATTGTGAAGTCTCTCGCAGGCATCTTTTCTTCAATGAAAACAACCAGTGGTTTTTCTTACATACATCTATGTTGCAGTATTTCCTTATGGGCTTGTCATCCACGGAAATCTCCAATACCCTCATGTATGGAGATTGAGTTTAATGCGCGTGCTTTAGTAAACTTCAAATAGTCTACTGTGTCTATATTGCAGTATTTCCTTACGGGCTTGTGGTATGTGGAAATACACTATATCTTTTCTCTGATACCCTCATGTCGGAGACAGTAATGTGTGTGCTCTGGTAGACATAAGATGTTCTACTGTAAAGAAAGTCATCTTTTCAGCGGGAAAATTCAAACAGTTACATAATTTAGCCCAGGAAAGGTTGGAAGTCACATGACAGGGACTCAAGGTCAAACACTGGAAGGACACGATCATGCATGGCTATATCAGACTGTGTTTCTAGACTGAAGGCAGCCGAGTTACCCAGCTTTTGCTGCTGTTTATCATCGTGTTGCTGAGACTGGATTCATAGTATGACAAACTATGGATCGAGGAAGATCAAGATCTGCTCATACGCCTTACCATGAAGGACACATATAATTCAGAGTCTCTCATTCTTTCAATTGTGACAGCGGTTTGTAACATTTAGTTTACAGGGCTCAGTATAGAGTAGAACAATATTATTTATTTTCAGAGATGATCCAGATATCAGCACATATCAAATGGCCCTAACATGTTATACATCTCATAGTACCACATTGAGGATACAGCAGCTACTGTATCCATATCATTTGCAACATGTACAGCATCTTTTACTCTCTGATCACACACCACAAGAGAACTTTTGCAAATGCTTTATTGGGTAGGGATGTATTTTTCAATGAAATCTGACATCCATTAAATGCATGTCGTCTGGATTTTTTAAAAATTTTTTATTGTTAACGGCAAAAATTCTTATGGCATTTTTTTCTATTTATATATTTAAAGATTTTTGGGGGTTAGAATACGTTTTATTTAACTACGATTTGAAAAATATTTTCACTTTTAATTTTCAATATACTATATTTCTTTTAAGAACAAGTAAATGTATTAGAATCACTTACAGTATATAAAATTATTTTTACATCAAGTATAAGTATGTATATTATTAGGTCACAATTTTTTTTTTTTAAATTTATATTTAAATATTATTTAAGTAAAATTTATGACAATGACGACAAAAATAGCTAATTAATTTCACTGATTTAGTAAACTTTTATGTTTTATATAAACCTAGTAATATAGTGTTTCTCATGTAAGTACAAAGGACATGGGTCATTCAATGGCTTACATCTTTTAGCTTTTCATATTAATTTCATTTTACTGTAGGTGTTTTATTGGATTCTTTTAAGTGCTTCTAGTACTTTGAGAGAGGTCTTTAGGTTAGAATACGTTTTATTTAATTACAATTTTAAAAGATTTTTAGGTTAGAATTCATTTTATTTAACTACAATTTTAAATACAACTTTAAAATATTTTCACTGTTAGTTTTAATAGACTATGTTTCTTTTTAAAAGAAGTAAATGTATTAGAATTACTTACAGTAAGTAAAATTATTTTTCCTTATCAAGTATAAGTATGTATATTACGATTTTTAAAATTTTATATTATTTAAGTAAAATTTATGACCATTACGGCAAAAATAGCTAATTCATTTCTCTGATTTAGTAGACTTTATTTTTTATAAACTTAGTAATATATAGTTTCTCATGTATGTACAAAGGACATGGGTCATTCAATGGCCTACATCTTCTAGCTTTTCATCATAATTTCATTTTTCTGTAGGTGTTTTATTGGATTCATTTAAGTGCCGGTAGTACTTTGAGAGAGTTGTTTAGGTTAGAATTCGTTTTAACTACAATTTTAAATACAACTTTAAAATATTATCACTGTTATTTTAATAGACTATTTTTTTTTTAAACAAGTAAATGTAATAGAATTACTTACAGTATATAAAATTATTTTTTCACGTTAAATATAAGTATGCATATTACCTGGTTGCACTTTTTAAATTTATTTTTATTTTTAAATATTATTCAAGGAAAATTTTTGACAATTACGGCATAAAATAGCTATTTCATTTCTCTGATTCAGTAAATTTTTATTTTTTATAAACTTAGTAATATATAGTTTCTCATGTATGCACAAAGGACATGGGTCATTTAATGACCTACATATTCTAGCCTTTCTTATTAACTTCCATTTTACTGTAGGTGTTTTATTTGATTCTTTTAGGTGCCAGAAGTACTTCGAGAAAGATGTTTGATTTTTATATTTATTTATCCTAAATGAACTTTGATGTTGGTTGAATCTTTTTTTGAACTCATGGATAGTGCAACCTATATATATTTTTATGTTTTCAGGATTTTCAATCGAAGAGATATTGCATTGGTATACTAATGATTCAGTGTGACATTTATTTTGTAGAGGGCAATTATGAGGGTTTCTATAGTTACATAATTTTTGTTTATCTTCATCAGTTTTTATTTTTATTTTTCCATTGTTTAAATTTTTAAATGTTTATTTAAGATATTAGCATTATGTTTCTTAATAATTTTTTCTAAGTTTTCCGTACAGCTGTAACTCAATTTTAGTGTGTTTTTATTGAAAATAGTACTTAGTTTACTTTCACTAGGAAAATGCTTGACTATTAATGCGAGGAATTTTTGTCCTAATTTGTTCTTTACCATTTGGTTGTATGGGGGCGTATACCAAATTATTTTTCTACATCTGTTTTTCCTATGCTTTCCATTTTCATTTTTTATATAAGTTAGTTTTTGGGTTTTTGTAGCCACTCTCTTTTAGAGCTTTATAATAGGAATTGATATGTTCATCGAAAATCTTGTCATTTGCTGAATTTGTACTTATTCTTTTACTGATAGATAATGGTATATGTTTAATTATAGATGGGGGGGTGATTTGATTTAGGGTGTATACATAAAGGATTGGTGTTGGTTTTTTTATAAGGTGTGTATGTATTTTTATTTAAATCTAATGTTATATCAAAAAAGTTCACTTTTTTTAATTTAGTGCTAACCATAATTTTTAAGCCAATGCTTTTAACTTCTTTATATAATACCTTTCTAATTTTATCTATTTTGAAGTTAGTTGAGTTTCTAATAACCATAAGACCATCGTCTCTGTACAAACCAATGTCAGTTATATAATATCACAGTGCGCTGTAAGGTTGTATAATATAAAAAGACCTATGAGATCATAAGTCTCAGCTGAGTCTAGTGACCCCATTGTGATATCAAAGTAGTCATAACAATTCTTTATCCATTGCTCACCTTTATGTATCAGTACCAATTTTTTCGCATTTACAATAATTTACTTCATCTGTAATATCCGTATAGTGGGTGGCAAAGTCCAACACATTCATAAATAGTTCTTTAGATATTGATTGGTAATAATTATTAATATCAAACTGCATTAGTGTACAATTGTTTTTTTCTTTTACGTAAGTAAACCAGTTTATCACTTCCTTGGTATTAATCCAAAGTTTCAGGCTTATTTTTTCTTTAATTTGTTTATTTACCCTTTCAAGGATCATTTTACTAATTTTTCTGATATCCGGTCTTGTAGGATTTATTATCATTGTAGTGGGATTAGCCTCAAAATATGGTTTGTGGTCCTTTAAGGTTATGTAGCATTCTTTTTGATATAGATGACCTACTCTATCACTGATCTTCAGTCTATCAGTGATTTCTTTACTGCTAGTATTGATATTCTGAACTATGTTGAGGTCATTTTTATTTGCTTTCTTGTAGTTCTTATGTAAGTCCTTATTTATTAGGTCGTTGTATTCCTTTGTGGTTGTTTCATAAAAGTTTCCAGTTTTGTCGGATTTTACTAAAATTTTATCTGTAGAGTTAATGTCTTTTACTATCTAGATAAGATACGCCTGTAGAGTTAATGTCTTTTACTATCTAGATAAGATAAAATTTTCTTACTGTTCTTTTTTTTATTTATACACACACACACACACACACACACACACACACACACACATATATATATATATATATATATATAGACATAGAATTATTTGGGAAATTTAATATGCAACTATTAAATACAGATCCTTCATATAAGATGTTAAGAACATGAACTAATGTAAAATGTTAAAAATAGCAACCAAATACCAATACAATTGTACAGGATGTTACTAATACAACCAGGAAATTAATAAAAAATTATATTAAATCTAGATTAATCTTACAAATAGAAAGATAAGCCATATATAGTGCAATGCAGTGCAACTAAAATATAAGAAAGAGCATTATCAAATTCCAAAGTTTAACTAACTTGTAAGATAAAAGGTAAACAATGCTTACAATTTACTGTTAATTCACTTCTTTCATTAAAAATGAGTTTTTGTTTACTAACCCTATTGCTAATTTTAAGTTTATCAGTAATATTTCTAGAAGCAGTGTTAATTTTATCAAAACATTTAATATTGTTAATATGTATCTTCCTATAATTTTTAGTTAAATTGTTTTGTATATGTTTTAAATCTTAATAAATCATTCACTTGCCAGAAATTTACAATTGCCTGATTAGATGCATTGAAACACGACTGCAATTTTTATGTTTTTGGTGTAATATCCTAAAATATATATATATATATATATTCACATGTTCTGTTATATATTTAGGTTATATATTTATTAGTTATTTTCTTTTTATTGAATACAAGGTTTCATTATCATTCTTTTTATTTTACACCAATTTCTTGATAAGATATTTAAATTTTCAAACAAAATAGAAATAGATAACAAGTCAATTTATTTCATGTAAATTATACTCACTTGTAAATTCTGTGTTTTCTCCAATCAGACCAACCTCAGGTATTTTTGACAAGTTAATTGCATTTGCATCAAAAACCTTAAATATTATTGGGCTTTGCTTAAGAGGACTTCCACCATAACTTATGTCTACTTTATGTGAACCTGTAAAGAGAATGATATTTATAGATTAAGGATTGGAACAAATAATAGAAAATCAAATAGTTAAATGAGGTTATTTTTTTATGTAATTTTCATTTGTAATTAATTAATGTTAATAAATAAAACAATCTTTTGTTAATAAAAGTATACAAATATGGGTTTCTAATGGAATAACCAGAAAGTACAATGATATTGCAAATTTTAATTCTATGGTACAAAAAATATGCATTTTTTTACTGTTAATTTATAGATTTGAGAAAGTTTTGTATGTGCATTCATATTCTCCCAACAAACACATTTACAAATGCAACTTTACCAAGGTGTGCAAGACAGTTTGTATATTAATGGCAAAACTGGAATTAAAAGTTATGTTGGCCAAAGTAGTTATTAGTTTTGGCTTTCTTTCTAGCAAGGTAAAGAGATATGAACTGATTTAGATAATGAGACAGCAAGAAAGTGAGAGTTGGATGAAGGGGGAGAGAGAAATCTTTAATCTAATCTTTCATTAATTTATTTGTTTTTTTTTGGGTGGAGGTATTTTATTTATTGTAAACAGATTAAATATTTTAAGATTGAGAAAGATATTTTTCCTTTTAGAAGTGAATTTAAAATGTAGTAAAAGGATAAAGTTAGTAGTGGTTTACTTTTCAAAAAGTATACACTCAAAAAATTATGCAATATCATTGAAGACTTCATGCAGATAATAATAATGATAGTGTGTATCTATGTTGAAAGTGATAACAATGGTGCATACAACTTTATACACCTTTCCCAACTTTTCCCAGAATAATAATAGTAATGTAGTAGTGGCTGGTTAGTTCTGCCACTAATTAGCAAATGTATGAGTAGACATTATATATAAGCTCACTACATAAGGTAGTAGCAATGCTACTTAAACAGTAGAACCAATACTCATTGCATACAACTGAAATCCTTATATGACGGTGTTCAGGGCTATGGCCTGGCCACGGCACCAATTATGACATATTTCAGAGCTGCAGCCTACCCACAGTGACCAATTATAAAACGGTGTTCCATGTCCGGTCTGCTTTGGTCACCAGGTATGATGGTACTCAAGGTCAATCTCAGTCTGCTCGCTTGGTCAGGATCGATCCTGGTATCAGAGAACAAGCTGTCAGCCCACTTGTCAGTCGTTGATGGCGTTTGACACAGCAGCTGGTCTCAAAGTTGACCTCTTCAACTGTGAACTCTCTTACCCATGTTGTGATTTTGATCTTAAGAGGGTCAAGCCGAATTTCCACTGGGGTATCTTAACCATACTAAAACAAGGAGTAGAACACGTGCATACAAAATTGAAAAATAAAATGGACGACACCCGAATAAGTCATGATATGATGTTTATATCAGAATAAAAAAAAATATTTACAGTTCTTTCGTTGTTCTTTTTCTTCTTTTCCCAACGGAATGAAAATTGCGGGTAGCTTCTTTGAAGAATTTTCAAGTACTGTGATTTGTACTTTCATGTACGGCACAAGGATATTCGTCAGAGTTTTTCTTCATCAAAAACTGGTTTTAACTCCTCCGACTGCAACTTCAACGGCAGCTAATCTCAACTCCTTCAAATCCAACTCCAACTAACTTTGGCCAACGTAGGCACTTGTATTTATGGGTGTCCCTTTCAACTGGTGTGGTGTGGGTGAATAGGTGGTTTTTATGCAAATCTCCCAAAATTCAACCAGTTGTTTTCTTTCATTTTCTATTTTACATTTCCAATTTTGGAAGATCCCCTCCTCTTTCGAGAGGATCCATTATATGATGTCAGCCTTTCTGACATCATCATCTGATTTTTAATTTTTTCATTCTCAGGGAAAGTTTTGGCCGACAATTTTTCTCAGCAGATAGTCAAACCGACCTTAATCTCTGACCCCCAACCTGCCAGCTGTGTCTGGCAAAGTCACGTTGTGTAACTTTTTCCAACAAAATTCATACATCTATCCCCATATCCTTGGAAAATAATTCTCTTTCTGACAAAAATTTAAAATCCTTTTCTTTTGTTTTAACCCTTTTCATCCATGCGCCATGTTAAATATTGTTACATCTCTCCCTTCACCTATTCTGTCATTTACCTGTAAATGACATTTCAAACTCCAATACACTATTTAACATGCTCTACTATTCATGCACTATTTCTCATGCACTATAAAATTTCCACATGCAATTTGAAAAGTTCTTTTTTTTCATCTCCCGTGTATACCTGCATTTTTTCATGCACTATAAAATCTTCACATGTAATTTAAAAAGGTCTCCTTTCTTCTTCTGTTTATACCCACAATTAAAAAAATGAGTATGTATGTATGTGTGTGTGTATGTTTTTTTTTTATTTCATGGCGTGTTTTCTTGGTCATTATTCTTTTCTGTAGAACAGGGGGTGTTGGTTTGCTTTTGACAGGCGTTGACTGTACCTCTGCTTTGTTTGTTGAAGTCCACACAACTTCTTCTTTATCTTGGGTTGGTCTGGTTGGACAATGAACACTGCCAGGCAACTCCCTTCCGAGCTGTTGCACACTTACCACATTACCATCAACCGACCTCCTTCTATATCTATTAAATTTCCATATTGCTGCTACTATTACAGCAACAAGTATCAAAGTACCTATCACCGCTGATCAATTTATTATAATGTTCTTACTATCCTCCCAGGCCATACCTCCTTCTCCCAACATCTTTAGTTGGTCTTTTAACCAATTCATATATATCCTTTATACAGGTTCCAATAATACTGGCCTTTGCTTTAATGCAATGTTAGGGAATTCATTTACTGTTGGGTTCCACATTTCCATGTAATTGACCAAACTTCTGTTAAACAATTCTACAACTGAATCCTTTTCCTCATATTTCTCCTCCCTCTGGTAATATAGGGGCAGGGAGATGGATACTCTGAATAGTGAGCATCCCAGGGGCAAATTTACTAAGAATAGTGGTGGCCTCACTTTTATTGTCCTAGTGGATTCCCCTCCACATACCTTAGACAGTCTAATTGATTTCTGTACTGCCACAGCCCACACACCATTGGATACACTGATAGCCTGTAGTAGCATTGTTTTAGTTAACACTTCTACTTGACAATTCCTCTTAGTTCCTTCCCTTTTATCTTCAAACAACTCAAGTATACATATTCTGTGATTACTTGTCACATAAATGGGACTTAGTGAGGTACAGATTCCCACCTCGTCCGCCGACAGTATCATAAACTTTGTCCTAGCTGAATTCAAAGCTATGTATTCCGTTTCAATTCTGTATCTTGTCAACACTCCCATACCTTGATCCACATGAAGGTAGGGAATAGGTAAGTTTATTACTTGGTATATTTCAAAAATATTTTCTCTATCCAACAATGGAATAGACATCAAAACTAACAATTTATTATTTTCTAGCAAGGTTACACAACCTAGTGCATTATAATATTTCCATAGTTCTCTGGGGTATTTCACTCCATATTTTTAACAAAAGTCTCTTCAAACGTGCTGGAGTAACTATGCTAGGAGACAAGTGTCCCAATGATAACATGTTCACCTGAGCTCTCACATGCTGTAATAGAATTGTCAAGGATTGACTAGTCTGCCAATCAACTGGAAATACTGTTGAATAAACCCCATCAAACCCTGTAATTCAGTCACCAAGCCCTCTGAACTATTGGCTACTTCTTGTCTTAGTTCTCTTATTAACCCACTGATACTGGCTCTATTCTTTGCCAATTCTAGTCAATATTGATACACTCTCCCGTGCCCTCTGGGCTAGGATTTTCTGATACTTCTCTACTAGGTTCCTTCTTATGACTAACGTCATCTTCAGTTATTTTTCCAAATAAGATATTTAGTGCCTTCCCAATGATGGGAGCTACCGATCATTTTTCTCTAGTCTGTAGTAGTTCAATTTCCTTCATGTAATTCCTCATATCCTTCCACTGGCCTTCCATTACAACCCTTTCCAACTCTAAAGAATCTAAGTCTGAGATACTCTTCTTCTCCTGTATAATTCTGTACTACTTTTACTCTTGCTATTCCCAGCTTCCTTATCTCATTCCTCAGTTTGTTCAGTAGCAACTCGTATGGGTTTAAGTCTATCACAAAAGTGACTACCCATTTCGATCCTGTGATTATCACTTCACTTGTTTTCTTAAATATTGTACTGCTGCTGTGTCTCCAAGCTCCTATCTTCATTATCATTCTTTTATTGGGTCTCTGGAACAGAGCGATGATATTGCAAGGTCTTCTCCACAATGACTCAGACAATGAATAGACACTGCTGGCCAACACTGATGTGCCCTGCTCTGACACGCAGACTATCCTGTCCAGACCTCTATGGTCTATTGTCATTGGTTGCTGACCTATCTTCTTCTTCCTCTTCCGAATCTTCATCTGTTTCCAGCCCTTCTGGCATTACAAGGGTCGCTCTCCTTGTTCTTTTTTTCTTGGCTTTTGATCACTCATTTCCCAATTAGCCACCTCAGCTAACTTCAGATCATTGGCATGAACTCTCTTTGTTTGACCTGCCATTTGATCCCAAATTACATATGACACTGGACTCGTCTTCTCTATTACTCCCATCTTTGGTCCATTTTTTCTTCTCTTAGGTGAATTTTCTAATACACAGGGTCCTCAACCTTAAATTCTACTACCTTCCTACTTGCATTTACCCTCTTATTCCTCCTCTTTTAGGCTCTTTTTATTCACCTTCTGGCATGCACAAACAACCTATGCTGTTTTATTATCAACTGATGATGATCTTCTCCAATATTTTTCCTATGGGGTTTTAATAAATTATCTATCGGCAAGACCACATCTCTGCCAAACAACATATAATATGGTGAGAATTTAGAGGTCTCATTGATTGTAAACCTCACTGCGGCGAGAGCCTGTGTCAGGTACAGGTCCCAATTATCAACATTGTCTCTCGCTAATTTAGCCAATACCTCCCAAGGTCCTATGAAATCTCTCCACCTTAGCATTACTCTGAGGGTGGTAAGGAGACATTGTTATATG